TCAAGGACTGTCGACTGGCCGTATGTTCGCAGTACTGCCCGAAGTGAGTTCATTTTCCAACAGGACAATTGACCCAAAGCACAAATCTAACTGCTCACTAAGTGGTACCGTCCCTTTGCTGATGTGGTCCTCCGACTTGAATCCTATCGAAAATGTGTGCGAACGTCAAGTTGAAGGCCTCAGGGCTCACAACGCGTGCGAAAAATGCATTCAACTAAGGACCGCATGGGAGAACATCCCCAGAAGCTCATCGAGTCTATGCCACGCAGATGTCAAGACGCCAAAGGTTTTACAACAAATACTGAGGTTGTAGTTGCTACATTTGTTGTTACACGTGTCGTTGTGTTGTTAATTTGGAAAAGATTTATTTTTAAAAGGATTTAGATAGATTAAAATTCGAACAAGAAAGATGGTGTTTGAACAAAAAAGTTTGAAAAATCCTATATTCCAATTCACCTGGATAAGTGAAAACCCCCTATTATTACTATTATTAATTCTAGTTCAATGCATCTGCAGTGAAAAAATCGGAGCAAAAGCTTGAGTTTTGAGGAAGTTACGTTCTAAAAAAGTGAAAACGAATACTTCACTGCACGGTACTGTATATGTTCGATCTTCTGAACAAGAAAAACAAGAAACATGTGTCCATGTCGGACTGGGTGGAGCACACAATAAAGCAGTCATCGATGTATCGACGGTATAGAATTTTCTTCCGTTCTAGGACAGCTTTCGTTTCCTTTCGCCATGAAGGCTATTGCCGGAGCTTGCTGCTTTATGACGCAAACCAGGACATGATGCCGATCCGCCTTCAGAAACACATACCGGACAAATTAGCGTGAATTGTTGTCAAACAAAAACAGCTTCCAATGGTTTCCAAATCGTGTCGTCCTCCATGTCGATTGAAAATACAAAATGCTCTATAGGGTTAGGATTGCAAAGGTAATCATACGAATGCTTTTAGCAGTGTCCTGTCCAATCGTTAGTCCACCCACCACAACTGAACAGCTACCTTTGCCCAAGTTCACTATTCCGGGAATACAGCTTCAACAAATGTACTTAAACGCTAGCTAGCAGTTCTAGGTCTTCTTCAAGATACGAATCGAAGCCAAGCAATATTGTCAGGTAACAAGCCGATTGCCTGGCTGCCTCTATCGTCTATCAAGAAGACTCATTCAGTGAGATCCGCGCCGATTCTCGGAGTCAACAACCAATACGTTTCCAGGGCGCCTTTTCCCTGGAATAGTGAAAAGTGTTATAAAATGAAATGAAAGGGGCGAAATAAAGTTGAGAAATATCAGAATTCATGTCACGAAAAATGCCATGAGACGTACAAAGTCAGAACAATCAATCACAAGATGTATAGTGAAATAAATTCACTGGCTACCTAGAATATTAGGCAGTGTATATGATGGCAAAGAGGCGTGTAATTCCAAGACCGTCCCGCTGGTTAGCAAAAATTTCTGAAAAAAAATGTTTGCAAGAGGCGCTAAATACATAAAAGCCTGATGCAGTGAGCAGTCGGTCGGAAAGGTAAAGGAAATAAAAAAAACCTATTCCCCCGACAAGGCATCCCTGTCTTCAGCGCGTTCTCGAACTTTGACTGTTAGAGGCGATTCAAGTATCATAGCAACTCGTTGCTTCAGTGCTAATGACGTTGAACGGCCAATCGACTGCTGCCGCACGAGCCTCATTTTCCGCAGCGTCCCCCCACGTGGCATATGACAACGAAGTGTGGTGCTTGGAGATCACTGTTGCGCGCCGGTCCTGGCAAGCTCCTACCGCCTTTCCCACACACTTTGAAGAGCGGCGAGGGGGCCTCGATGTCAAAGCTTGTCCATCTCTCTAGCACGGTCGGGGATGGAACATGTAAACATGCCTGATCCCGGAGCGTGCCTTCAAAGTGCGTTCAGAGGCGGTGAACAATGAAGAGGTATGGTAGGACTGCACCTAATGCCATTCCATCCACCGATGTCGTCTTCGAATTAGCTTCTTCTCCTAGTCATCTCACTCTCTGCCTTCAAATTGCGCAGTTTTACGGAATCTCACCTTCACCATGACCTCTCCTCGATACTCGCATTTGTAGCCACCAATTACTTCAGTGAGAAATTTCATTGTGTCGGTAGAAATGTGAACACGACCGGCTGAAAGCTTCAACTTAGTTCTGAAACTGTTTTGAAAGAGTTTTTTCAATGGACTCACGTTTTCCATTGCTTCTCCATACGACTTGCGGTATTCACCGTGTCTCCGAACAGACAATATCTTGGCATCGTCATGCCAACCACCCCTGTCACTACTGGGCCTGAAATTACACGATTAGACGCTACAGGCAATTGAGCGAGAGGCATCCCATACAGAAACTAGCACACGTGCTCACGGTTATCTTATATCTCGGTGGATTGAAGCTGCGCTCCACAAAAACAGAGGAAAAAAGAGATTCGGTTCTAATGGAAAAAAATTGAAGAACACGTTCCGGATGTTCTGGAGATTTTGCTCGTGATTTATGTAAGTGCTCAAGCGATATTACTTTGAGAGGACGCCAAGGGGCAAAATGGCAGGCTTGTTATTATGGATGTATTTCCGTAAGAGATCCTTCGAGAGGAAATTTGGCCACGCCCCTGTGAACCCCCATCCCCCCTTGGTGTGATTGCCGCGGCATTTTTCTTCACATAAATGACATTCCAAAATGGAAGCAGTGTGCTCTATAACTCTAACAGAAAACCCGTATATGGGTGAAACTCGAGTTGCTATGTAGGGTAACTTTACGTTTGTAAGCAGCAATTATCTTTTTTGGACAGGCTACGACTGCGGAAATCTGCCTTCGGACGTTTGTGCCCATTTATGTTCACCTTTCTCGGCAAAATGTGACAGGGTGGAAGAAATATAGATCAGGAGCGGTGGAGCGAAGCTCACACGTGAGACGAAAGACTACAATATACCTGTATGAAGTCCAACTCTAATATTGATCTTTTCGTTGGGTAGATGGGGAACGCGGAAGCCACGGATCGCTCTAACCAACTCGAATGACATCTCGGCAACATCCCTCGCATGTTCATTTCCATTTCGCTTTGGTAGACCAGAAACACATAGATAGCCATCTCCAATTGTCTCAACCTGAAATGATCACTAGCTTAAATGATTTCCAGTTCTCCATCAAAAACTAAGGTCGGTCAATTCACGGTTATACCTTGTAGACATCATGCTCATCGATAATAGCGTCAAAGAGTGTATAGAGATCGTTCAAAAGGTTCACCACCTGGAAAATGGATGCTTCCAACTCCATGTTCAAACGTCAGAGTCATTGAAGCTTAGTTGGGTCACAAAACAAACCTAGAAGATTTAATAACTCATAGAAAAGGTACTCTGCTCATAGAGCAGAGACTTCCCTTGCGGGCGTCACAATAGGATAACGGCATAGCTAGCCTTGGATTCAAACTGGTTAGAGAGTGAAACAAATGTATATTCAAGTATACACCCAAAGGCGTTGTAAGCTTAAGAACGATAGAATATAAACGCGGGCCACAGGACTTTCCAGCTCACCAATTATGCAAAAGATAGCGGGACTCCAGGTAACGACATCCATTCAGGAGATTGTCGGTATCCAAGAGGTTTTCTAGCACTCACCTGCAGTGGGGTACATCTACTGGCCAGAGTTGTGAATGAGACAACATCTGAGAAGAACAGCGTCACACAGTCGAACGTCTCCGGCTCAACGGACTGACCCAGCTTCAACTTTTCGGCTACTTCTCTGAATTGAAATGGCATGATCTTGGCAGAAAAATTGGAATTTTATCTATTGCCTAGCGCCCGTTTTGTAAAGCATATAGTCAACGCAGGGATACATACAAATACAGAACGACAATTGAAACGTTTGCAGTTCATGATGAGACTCAGCGCAAATATCAGGCCTAAGAAGAGTGTAGCCGTCTCTCAGCATTACACTTATAATCAACGTCAATTAACTGTCGGCGTGAGAAAGAAATACATCTAAAGCATACGCGCAAACAGAGTACGAGCCTAATCAAGCCCGAGGTCTAACGGTGTCGATAGTAACCCCTATTCTTCCCCGTTCCTCCCTACCCTTGGTAAATCGGCTATCGCTGGAGGTTGAGTGTCTCAGTCAGTGAAGGTGTTCCACAGTAGTTCCAGCGCGATCGCAGGTTTTCAACGCCGAGCCGACAGTGCCAAACGCTGTCAAAATGCAAAAAAAATAGATTCTGTGCCGTCCAGAGGGGGAGTGAAATTATATCGTCTGGCTTTATAATTCTTCAACTACTTCCAACGCCATTTCATGAACAAAAAACAGCGGCTCTACGCTCTTTGATAACGAATCCACGGTTCAAACAATTGAGTTTGACAGTGAGTGCCCCTGGTGTATGCAGCGCACTACACGCAATAAGTTCTTCGAAAACCTTGATGCGGCGTCCAGCTATACGGTCCGCGCAGATAATTCGCGAAAACTCATATGGCAAGCAAACGTAATCATCCGTGAAGCCCCTTTCGATCCACTAATGAAATAAACACACAGTCGACAACCCGATAGTAGAGTTAGAGCACCTACGCACCAAACAGCAACCTAGGTGCAATGGGAAATAGGCCTCTTAATAACGACTATGCATAGCCAAAATGCAGAATGGAAACTGTCAATCCTTACTTTGGTAACATTCTGTACAGAAGGATGTCGCTCTTCTTCTTCTCCTCGGTCAATTCCTGCATTCTTGCTTGCACCTGAAATCTATGTTATTTATTTAAAGTCCAGAGAGAAATTGATCAACCAACAAGACCTCTTCCTCGAGATTGGACGCATATTGTTCGAGCACATTGAAAACGTGATCCATGAGATTGGAAGATCTAAAAGCAAGGATAATTTGAAAGACAATGGGTGCGAAGGCCGGCTTACAGAGCTCGAGGAAACTTCATTGGTGAAGGGGAGCTGAAAAGCGGTTTGACCATATTTCCAGCTCCTTTTTATCAATGACGCTTGTTTTGCACTCGTCTTCAAAGGCTAGTATTGTGCCCGTTGTGTTCAGATAGTGGTATAGACTCAGTTGACGAAGACTGTCGCAGACGCTATCGCAAAATGTGGGGGCATTTAAGACCACGTAAAACATCGCGTTTTTGTCAAAAACTGGACTAGCCTTCTTGGCAAGCAGCTCCCTTTTATCAATGACGCTTGTTCGAGGAGGACTTGAGCTGGAATTCCTGCACCCTCTTAGGCTAACTCCTAGAAGATGTCCTGGTATCTTGTGATAGCTCGATTGCGCTTCAAGGTGAAGCCCACTTTGACCTCCTCAATCTAGCTTGATTGTGAAATATGGGTCAAGTACTATAGTTTCACTGAAAGTTTGTACTCATGAATTCTCGCTGTAATATATCAGAAAAGGCGCTAAGGCTGCTGGATGGTGCTCTCAGTATGATGCAGGCGTAAAGTATTCAGTGCAAAGCAATCCCATTTTCGTATGCGTCGTGCATTCAAGTTCCATCAAGAACTGTAGATGATTTCCTAATGCAAATCGGTCTATGCAATAATTTGCTGGACCACCAGCCCATCTACAACAATCAAAAGATCCCCAAGGAACGGAAGCCTTCGCTGGGTTACGTGGGATTCGGAGTGAAAAATTGGTGATCAGACAACTCACGGGAGGAAAAAGTCAAAGCCAAAATTGTTCAAATTTGGTTATTGATAAATTCATTTGGAATCGTTATGGGAGAATAAGCAAAACTCACTTGTTGGTGTTGAGTCCTTTGATAAGCGTTCTGATTTGACTACAGGAAGGACGTTCGTCGACCTCCTCATTCCAACAGTCGCGGACCAACAGCGATAAACTGGCATTATGTTCATCATCGGTCTCAAGTGACGGTCGAATTGGAGATCGACCCCCACGTTTGATTTTGTAAATCAGCTCTTAAATCACCTCATAGTGTTTCAATTGAACATGAAACCATACAGAAAATTTGAAGGCTTGACGAAAACACTTAAAGTTTTTTTAACGTGCGAAAGAGAATTGCCTACTACTGGATTGAAAACGAACAAAACTGCACAAATCCTTACCATCCATGTCGTAGTCCTGATTCTCGAGATCCCAAGCCGATTTCTTTGTGATAATCTCGGAACAGATAATAGCGAAACTGAAATTGCATTTGAATCAATACGTAGCACTGTACAAAATATCACCCCACTCCTCGTCTTTAGATGATTACCTGCCTGACTAGACCTAATTCCACACAGAAAGCTCTCATAAGACGGGTGTCCCCCAAGAGGCCCATCTCGTGGCAAACGAAGAGACGCAGGCCGTTGCCAGCGCATACTGTAGCGGTTAGGCGTCAGTTAAGTAGGGTGTACCTTACTTCGTCTCATATCGTACAGCACGCGCTGCGACTCGTCCTTTGCCGCGTCTGCGTCTCTTCCTTCGCCGCGCGACGGGCCTCTTGGGGGACACCCCACTCAGACGGAAAGTTTCACATATCTTTTGATGTTACCTATTTGCACTGTGCGAAAGACCCTGGGCACGCAGCCGCCATGCGGCGAAGGGCAGTATGAGCCGTTGCGGAGCGGGCGGGGTCGCATCAATGAACAAAAAGTGCAGCGAAATATTCGTAATAGCTACAAACAGTTAATGCTTGTTAGGCTATTGAAGATACAGTACCTCCCATAACTTTGTTAAAAAAGACGCGGAAGACGCGGATCCGCGTCTTTTTCGTCTTTTTGCTATAATTTGATTTCTGATCGCTTTTCGACATGAAAAACTATACCATTAGACTCAGCTCGTCGAGTGCTATTAGAATGTCCTCTCAGATTTTTAGAAAATTTCATTTTTCTATTCCAAAGTACCTGAGGCTACTCATTAGCGAGCGTCGCTCGCTATAATTACAGCCAGAGACAAACAGCTTCCACTAGTATTCAGCAAGCCTTTTCGCTTCTTTTTTTTTTTGGAATAGTATGAAAAAAGTGACTAACGTGTTCTTCAGGTGATGCTGATCATTTTGATACCTGATATTCCCTATTTAAGTCAACTTTGTTTAAATCCATTTTTGGAACGAAGTTGCATCTTTGAAGCGAAAAATAAGGAGAATGGGCCAAACTATGACATTAGCTGAATAGAGCACCTCTTCTAATTAACCTACCCTGCTGATAGTAAGCTTTTCAAGTTCCTCTCTGCCACCAGCTGTCAATTTCGGGCCCTTGTTTGAGAGGAATTTTCACATTTTTTCATCGAAAGGAAACCTCCCAAAAGTTATATCATTCGAATACTCATCGAAAACACTATGTAATGATATGAAGGGTAAGTCAGGTGTTTTCTCATTATTACTTCCAATTTTCTTTTATAAGTCAGGAATTTTCTCATTATTACTTCCAATTTTGGCACTGCCTGCCTTCTCTTCCCGCGAACACTCGACCGGCGAGCTAATTAGCCGTGTCACCGTGGCCGATGACCTAAGCATCTTACACCACAATTGCCGTAGGACCTCTTTCACATCCCAACGGACGCCCAACAGTCCGTTATACATAGCACTATTTGGAGGACACCGTCAGAGCCCGAAAAATAGAGTTCATAAAAATTATTCAGATTTTCAGGACTGGATGTGAATGGATTCATTCACAACAGAATATGGAGGAGAACATACATTCACACTGACAGCCCTGTTCAGCAACCCCATCAGGTGGACCCACGCCCGCTACAAGTGGAGGTTTATGGCCCGTTCTGGTGGCTTATAGATGCCGTAGTGCGACCCTGTGGTCTAATATTCGTTTGCGATCAGCTTGCTGCATAAGTACTGTTCCTGAAGGTCAAAAATTGTTGTTGCAAAACTGTGGCACAAATTTGGGTCACGCCCTAATAAGTTTCAATAGGGTCCTCGAACCTCTGTGTCAGTGGTGTGTAATGCCGTGCTTGTTGGGCCGGAACTGAACAGAATTCAGTCAGAAAACGAAGAAAAAGTGACCAGGGTCAACCGTCAGGTTAGCCTTTTTTCAAAAATTCTACGAATCCCTCGCCCTTTAGTGGAGTCTCAATGCGACCCCCTTCCCACCCACCATCATCAATCTTAGAAGGCTTCCCAGTACGATCTTCTCCCATCATGGCTGTTTCTAGAGTTTTTGATTCTGAGACCAGTCCACACAGTCCAAATGCCCAACCCCACTCACTTTTTTCTCCAAAACAGCCGTCGAGCGGTGCTGAGAGAGGCCCGGGGAGGGGGGAGTCAGGTATCATGAAGCGACCAATCCACCACTTCTGCCCATTTCTCTCTATCCCCTTCCCGAAATCACAAATGCGACCTCTCGTTCAAATGGCGAGCGGAAGGTTGACCTTGAGTGTGACTAAATCAAAATTCTCTAGAGCAGTGGTACAATCTGACTGCTAATGATAGCAAAGTAAGAGGGTTGAGGCCGGCGCAACCAATGATTCCTCGTTGGTGCAAAAGCTTCGATACAAGCTTCAAAGGCAACAGACACTTTCGGCCAGCTAAGTTCTGTAGGGACTCATTACCAAAGAATTCAAAGCGTCACGGCTACGGTCACCCTCTTCACAAAACAGCTTCCAAATATACTGTGAGCAGTACGAGAAGATGTTCCAGGACGCAAAAAGCCACTTGTTGCAGTACGTTTCGAAGAACCGTGGTAGGGCGATTTAGAAGAAATTGGCCGAGCTGGAATGAGAACTTGTTTACCCTTGCACTTCATGCGTACCTTGAGCCGTGCGACTACAAAATCGTAGGTAGCTCGAATCAGCCATCCATCAAAAAGCACTTCCACAAAAGGAAAACTTTGATGCCGTCAGCCAGTTAGTAGCTAAGGGCAGTGTTTGAAATCCCCGTCTGGGAGCTGGGGGGTTCGATCAATGCAACAAAAGTGCACGCGAACTTGAGTCTAATGCTACAAATAAAGGTTGCTTAGGCTAAATTGGTTCTAGGTAGATGTGAGATATCCAGCGGAACCGTGCGCATAGGGAGCGCAAGGCCACTTGTAACGCTCCACTCTCGTTAGCATTGACAAAGATTGAGTAGAAAGCACCGAAGCCGACCCTTAGTTCAAAAGTTTGTGTGGTATCCTCAAAATGTGACGTAATTAGTGATCATTGTTCTTTCAGCACACAGTACAATGGGTCGCCCAAAGAAGACAGCAGCAGCCTCATCACCCAAGAAAGTCAAGTCACCGAAGATGAAAGCCGAAAGGAAGAAGAAGGACCCGAATGCACCGAAACGCGCTCAATCCGCCTACATGCTTTGGTTGAACGAGAATCGCGCCAAGCTGTCGAAACCAGGCATGAGCGTCGTCGATGTGTCCAGGGCGTCGAATGGGCCACGGTGAAGGACAAGTCTAAATGGGAGAAGATGGCAGCCGAGGAGAAGAAACGGTACGAGAAAGAGATGGCAGCATACAAAGCTGGTGGATCATCAGGTTCATCACCAAAGAAGGCCGGCAAAGCTAAGGCGAAGTAAACTTATTGCACCCTCAGTGTGTATGTGTACTTCTCAGCTCACAATACCTCACTCTTTCCTCACCGACGTTTTTCGAATTTTGCGTGTGTCACACGTGCGCTTCATGGTTTGACCATGTGTGACGCGCAAATACTGATGATCATTGTACAATATTAATAATGTTTTTGTGTGCTACGATGTAGTGAGCGTAAGCTCGCAAGTATTGGTCTTGTAAATGTCGTGGTGGGCGTACCTCCGTGGTTATCGTGTCTATGCATTTATTTTACTGATTGATTTGGTTGAGTGCGATCTCTGATCATAATAATGGGACGACCAATAAAGAACAGTGCTTTAGTTCACAACATAAAAGACAGGATCTGCCCTGGATTTCCTAAAGCTTCAGTTCTGACAGTTAAATGCCATTGAGTTCCCATGAACTTTTTGAAAGGAGACTGTCGTGACTTGCGCACGACCTCGAGCAAAGATGCTCCAAGGCCATGCGCGGGAGGATGCCGCAGCGCAGCGCAGTCAGACTGAGCGTCGACTGTGATAGGCACAGACCCCTGGCTGTCTGTTGCCATTCAAATCGCCCGCGCAACTGCCACGTCAGTCGGCATGATGCAATCGCCTGAGCGGTTGCTCCGTCTCGTCTCGCCTCGCCTTCGCTTTCGCTTCGGCCCTCAGAAGGTCGGTTCGTCTTTGCTTTATTACATCTTAAGCTTAAGGCGGACCTCGCATTGGCCCTAAATATCCTTCGTTATCTTAGTGTAAATAATAGTATTATATTACTCAACTCTATCAGTATCACATAATAAGCCAGGGTTTCCCCATTGCAATCTCAATGCAGTCATCTCTCAATCATAGTTTAGGCATTAATCGGGAGTTCACCTCATCTGTGTAGATTACTTTAAACATGTAGTTTATTTTAGTCAACCGTAGTCTATTAGTCAACCGTAGTATGTGTTTTAACAGTTTCTATTCTAACAGTTTTTTTACAGGTTATAATATTGTTACTCTGTCTTATTCTATGTCGGTTTACATGAAGTTCTGTAAGTACTCTTTAGCTTTACACCTAAGATCACGCTTACGTTCGCATTTCGCATACACCGCTTTAGCCTGTCTATTACCAGTCAGCTTACGCATTACTCGGTCAATGGCACATCAGTTACCTTAATAACATCAAGGTCTTACGCTCGCGTTTAGTACGCATCGTACTTGTTGGGGTCAGGGAATAGGCCCTGCACATGAGCCCGCAGCAGGCACGCATCTCAGAGCATTCTCGCGCACGCATTCCCTTCCGAGGTGTTGTGGGCACCCACTGGAATCCCACGTTTTGCCGGGTCCGGTGGACAGACCACCGATGCACGCGCTTGCACGCGCTCGACCCCGTCCACCGGGCACGACAGAGACCCAGATTTATCAATAGTCTTGGATGCTGAGCAAAAAGCAACCGTGTTTCCACATAGGTTGCACCTCATCATTAGCGTTCTTTTGCAACTTTTAAGGCTCACAACTTTCTTACAAAGTTCGCACAGCAGTTTTAGTGTCCATATTTGTAATCAGCGTCCAAGACTCTGTCGATGCACCTTTGTCAACCTGGTTTCCTTTCAAAGCTTCATGGGAAGTTCAAAAAATTCCTTGGTGAGAAAGTACGATCCAGTGAATATAACTGAAACAATCGCATGGTGCGGTGCGACGCTTCGTAGAACATCAATATAAGCGCACCTGTAAACATCGCCTTCTTTGGTTGGTGGCATCACTGGGTCACGAATGTGTTCAGGAGCAGTCCACAATAAGTCTAAACGATAGATTCTTAATGAAAACGGAAATTTGACTTCTACATCGAAAAAGTGGGGGTAACCGTGGGTAGTATAACGGCTTTTAGCTGGTGCCTTCCACACCATCAGCGAGTACAAATTTATATGGACGAAAACTCTAACAGTTATAAATTGCAAGTACAAGGACAATAGCAAGCCTTCATCACGAAAGTGACCTTCATTTTAAGCGCCGCGTTGCTGGGACCTTTTCCCTTCATTAATTCCCTTCATTAACTGGCAATGGCTTCAGCGCTACAGCAGCTTATCCGGTAGAGGGGAAAACCGCCTGAACTGATTTCACCAGCAATGTGTTTCCAGACGTAATTGAAGCTTATAAACTCAAATATCGCACTTTATAAGTCGAAAATACCCAAAAGTCATGAAACTACATAGTTCCTTGCGCCTTTTTAGGGTTACTCACACATGCAGTGGTTGCCCTAGAGAGGAAGAATACGAGTTTTCCATACGAAATGATCATGAGGCTCCTCATCAACATACCATTTCACCCCAGTTCACAGATTTTCAGCAAATTTGGGGGTCTAACTTGTTTGGGATGCGATCAGAAAGATTCATAACTGAATTGTCTGAATGGTCCAATTTCTTAGTAAGTAGCAGCTATCGGCAAGATTTGGATTCCTAACCATGCAAATGTGGCTTTCAAACGTATCGATCATACTTCTGAAAAAGTGCAAAGAAGCCTACATATCAAAGACTCGAACCCTTGGCCTTGCCCACACGAGACCGGCGTTGTATCCACTAGCCCACTGATCCAAAACCAAGCTGTGAATGCGCATCATATTCGTGTTAAGCTTGAGTTTGCTCCGTATCACAGCAGCTTCTGCACCTTCATTTAGAGAATCGTTCAGCAGATATGGAATGCAGATTTGACATCAGCGTTCGAAGGGGCACATATCAGATAATATGCAGGTCATTTCAAACGGCCACCTGGACGTACCATCCTTCCCTTGTAAGGCCCCGAGTTACTGGAGGTCGAGAAAAGTGGGTTGAAACCAAAGAAAAGGGAGGTCGCTTCTCTTGGTTGGTAAGCCAAACCAGCAAATCACACATAATGTCTCAATTAGTTATTAAAATTGAGCTGCAAAAGCAAAAACCTACATTTCGGCTCCTTAACCTCCAACGCTTTTATGGTATCCAGACCATAATATGTTATCCTCACCTGGAAAAAAAAACCTTTCAATCTTCAAACGGTGAAATCCCGAACTGGGATGAATGCATGATACTGTTCAAGCATCGTCTCTTCCAGAAATCATGGCAAACTACTTGGAAAATTCATTTTTTTCAATTTTTTTCCAATTTAATTTTCAACTTACCTGCCACCTTTCATCCACCAAACAAGTGCCAGAGCTGAGCCAACCATGAGGGCCGTATGTCTGGTGCAAATAAAGAACGCCCTGAAACAACCGAAATATGTGGAAAGTCCCATGCACCATTTGGGAATATTGCTGCTGTTTTTTTTTCAAATGAATTACTC